TAGTAGTGAGTCATTTTTCATGGCTACTTTTCACACCTTGATTTGTCTTCTTTGATTCCCCTATTCTTTTATGATGTTTCCTTTATTCTATCCATCATTTTCTATTTGATTACCTAGGGATCTATCCTTAGGTTTAACATCTTGATAGGGTTTGCATATTGTAAGTGAAGAAAACATGTAGAAAGATGGTGGTGATAAACATGTGGGATAAGTGGGTGTGATGGTGAGCAACAAGAAGGCTTAAATCATGGTGCTTGTGTGAGGAAGGATGTGTTATCATCAATGCAAAGTGTGCTAGAGACATGAGAAGGTGTTTGTTGTAACTATGAAGCTAACCTTGTCTAGTTACAAGTCGGGTTGCAGCAAGGGGGATGTAGTTAACTAATGTGGGCTAGAGGTTAGTATGTAGTGTATAGAGGTAGGATGGTAAATTACCAAAAGGAACTTCATGTGGTGAAGAAAAAAGCAACTTGGGTGAAGGCAAACTAGTTAAGACATGAACAACCATATAAAGGTTTTCCGCCCAAAATTTACCAAGTAATTTTGCTTGAAGAAGTAAAGATCAAATCGTGTTCATAAGTGTTCTTGATTTATACTTTTAGCTTTGTCATTTTGCTTGGGAGTTGAAGGACATGAAGAATGAAAATGACTACTCATAGGTTGAAAATGTTGAGTAAAATCTAAATTATCATATTCATAGCCATTATCACATTGTAAAGCTTTAATTCGAACACTAAATTGTATTTGATACCACTAAGAAACATCTAGAGAAGTCCAAACTTCAAAATGAACTAATTCAAATGGTGTAGAAACTACAGAGTTTGATTTATAAAGAGGAAGCCTAACATGTATCTCGTGTTGACATGCATGACATAAAGTACAAAAATACTGAAGAGAAGTTGAACCCGAATGACGGAGATAAAGATAATAAATGTTAGGAGACACAATAGTAGAATGAACTTCTGGAAAGCTTGAGAAGGAATAGCTAGACAACAGGTAAACGCCATCTCGACTATTGCAATATAAGAGGATGTTTTTAATCTTGATGTTCTTACAAGAAAACCCAAAGGAATAAAAATTAATACTACAATAATTATCATGACTAAATTGACAAACTGACACAAGATTTTTAGTAGTTTGTGGAGAAACTAAAACATTATTTAAACGAAATTGACAATTAAAAGCAAAGATAATACTATTATAAGACATAGTAACTATAAATAATTGACCGACACTAACTTAAACAAACTAGAGCTAAAATTAGGAGACTAATAAACTAAATTACAAGAATTATTTGTAACATGAGTTGAGGCACCTAAATTTATGTTTCAATTTGAGTATGGATTAAAGGAATAAGTAAAATCAATTATAGGATTGAGCCATGGAACTAGAAGTTGTGAATGCTTGATTGTTGGGCAAAGGGCAATCATGAGCCTAAAGATTTGGTTGCCGACACCATTAGCAAAAAATAGTTAGTGTATTCCTTAGAGTAGGTAGCAAAAGGGTAAAGAGTAATTGGTAGTCTTATGATTGGCAACCATAGAGCCACTAGAATTGTCAAAACCATGGTCCTAACCACCAATAAAATTTTGTTGGAGATGGCCATTGTAAGAGTGACCCTTACCACTTATAAAATCACTTTAAACTTTTCTTTGGTTGCAACTTTGGCTAGTGTCCCTTTTTGTCGTTCTAATTATGTGCATGGTGGATTTATGGTTTAGAATTACTAGATAACATCTTTGGTGTGAAGCCATTGGAAGAATGTAGAGGCTGTGGTGGATAGGAAAGTTGCAGCAATTGGTAATTACTTGAACATATGGGAATAAGATTAGTATAAGCTTTTTTGTGTAGAACATTTGCTTCTTTAATCAACAATAAGGAACATAGTTCTAAGAAGGATGGAAAAGGGTTCCTTTGAGAAATTGTTCATTTAGCCACATTGTAATTAAGTAGCATCTAGGCTCGTAAGAACTTGGAAAACTATGTCTTGATCTTGTTTTGGATGGTCAGCACGATGTAATTTATCTACCACTCTTTATTGATTGTGAATAATTTATCATCATTTGTCCTAGTTGTATGCAAATGATAAAACATTTTTGTAGAAGAAACAAAGCTTATGCATCTAGTTGATTTTGATACGTTATGAGAATTGCTTCCGAAGCTTCTTAACAAAATCATATGTAGCATTTTAATACATATGATAACTTGAATCCAAGAGACAATTTCAATTTGCGTCCACACCTCTTAAGTAAAACTTCCAAGTGGATGATAAGGGTTAGTACCATCAATATGTCTATAAACAATCTTGCTTTTGAACACTAGAACCATTTGATTCACACCAAATGATAAAGTTGTGTTGATTTTGTAATCCCAGCTGGCTACCCAAGATGGAGGTGAATTATGTCTTATCAATTTAATTCAAAACGTGTTTCTTTTTCTTTAAAAGATGAATCAAATTTCTAATTTATTGATTGTTGTGTAAAATAAACAAACAGTAATTGCAATCTTGCAAATAAAGTGCAGAAAAAATAAAAAGAAAGGAAAGTGAATATCAAGCTGTGATTTATAGTGATTCCTTCAACCCCAAAGTACATCCACTCCTCAAGCCTCCTTGCTTAAGAGTTCAATCCACTAGGATTCTCTTGCTTATGGGTGCAAGATTAAACCCTCACACTCTTGCTTGCAGGTGCAAGATTAAACCCTCACAAGTGAATCTCAACAACTCACTCAACCCTTTCAAGGATTATCCCAATCCAAGAAGAATACAATATCCTTGTAAGTAAAAACATTAACCCAAAAAGCTCACAAGAAGAAGAATATTCAGAACTGATTTCTATTGTTCAATTTCTGTTATTCTTCTATTTTTTGAGAAGTTCGTTAGGGAGTACCTTTTAGATTTTATTTTTGATACATTGAAAAGTTGGTTCGGAGATCTTGCAATTAAACCTTGTTTTGCCCTTTAATGCCACTTCACAATTGCCTCAACCAAATTCCACTCTTTTTCTACTTCCTATAATAAACTCCGACTTGTCTTGGAAAGTGGCTTAGTCATTTGGATCCGTCTAGGGCCCATTAAGATAAAACAGATAATTAAACTATCAAAGGTTTACCTTTTAGAAATTTTGCTTTGAAGTTAGAAATACTGGTTCGAGCTGTTTTTGAAAAAACTAAACTAGGGGATTGATTCGAACCTAGAACTCTGAACAAGGAGAATAAGATCTGTTCTAATCATGGGGAAAGATTAGAATCCTTGAATTAGCTTTCTTGCACACTTAGCACAAAATAGATTAAACTCTTTCAATCATGGTTTTAAATCATCATCAAAATACAAAAAGAACCTAATAGATTTAAATCTCAAAAACAAAATTCTAAATATTTGAAACAATAAAGACTAGATGATAAAAGATGATGGAAGTTGTGGTATCCATTATATAAGAAGAAACATGTAAGTTTATGAAGGTATAGGTAGCAATATTGATAGGAAGAGAACTTAGAAGATTGGAGTTGATGATCGAGATAGGAATACGTAAATCTATTATGTAGATAGGGATGGTAGAGGTATCATCATATGACACCCCTAAGCAAATCCAACATCCATAGAGCACAGGAAAGATGCTAGGTATATATTTCAGCACCTGTTAACCCCCTAGTGACACATTTTAAAATTGTGAGGCTTGATGGGTTGAAGTGAACAATATCAACAATAGGGTTGTGTCATTACATATGGTATTAGAGCCACTCCATGTGATCTCTTGAATGCTGGTGGGATAAATTTTAACTAGGATACTGAGTCCCAAAAAAGAAGTGTATATGTGACACCCTTAAGCAAATCTCACATTGACAAAGCATGGGAGAGATGTTGGTAGATAGGTTGGTACCTGTTAACCTTTATTGACCCATTTTAAAACTGCGAGGCTTGATGGGTCAAAGCAGACAATCTTTATAGTGATTTGGGTCATTATATACAAGTAGTAGAACTAATGAAGGTATTGGAGGTAGTAGATTTAGTAGAAATAATGGCCTAGAATAAGAAAAAGAGGAAGATAGAAAGAAAAAGAATACCTAGGAAGAAGTTTGGTGCCAAATATGGCTCATCTAATACCATAAAGAACATAATGCTCTATATGTTTTTCATTACTATGAATCATTCATATACATATAGATGATGAGTGGAACACCATATTTATCCTTATGCAACTTATACAAAATATAGGCAACGTATACCCTATTTACCTTTCTATAACTTATACAAATGTAGATATAGCCTATGATTTATATATTATCATTGATGATGCTATAGTATAGGGTAAACGTTAACTCTATTACAATGTAATTTATTAAAGTCTCTACTAAATAGAAGTTTGATGCCAAATATAGCTTTAATACCATAAAGAATATAAGGTTCTATATGATTTTTCATTACTTCGAATTGTATATAGACATATAGATAAGGAGTGGAATACCCTATTTACTCTTATGCAACTTACACAAAATATACGTAGGCTATACCCTCTTTACCCTTCTACAACTTATTCAAATGTAGATATAGCCTGTGGTATATATATTATCATTGTTGGTGCTACAACATAGAGTAAGACATTAACGCTAGAGTGTAATTTTTTTTAAGTCAATGCTAGATAGGAGTTTACCTCGTATCTCAATGCAGGCTCTTTGAGTTATTTTTGCATTAACAAATGATAACTCAATCTTCATAAAGCATTTCAAAAAAAACTCAATCTTCATAAAAATAAATAAATAAACTGAGGTAAAAGAGATTTGAGGAATTAAAAAAAAAAAAAACTGTTGATTAAAAAACATCAAACATGGTGCTACCATATGTCGGAAAGTATTCCTCTGTTTCCATTCACGCGTGTGGGACCCACATTCCCCTTCCCATCTCTTAAATATCAAGCTCCCGTACTGTTTGCGGTTGACGACGATTTTTCCTGCTTATCTTTTTTTTTTTTTTTTTTTTCTCTGCATCCCCCGACTCAACCCTCCTCTTCTCTCATCAGCCCTCTCTCTCTCCCTTATTTCCACTCTTTTCTCTTTTTATGTATTGACAGGACATAAAGTTCAAAAACTCCGCGTCCCTTCCCAACACTTAACGCACTCCAAAAACCCTAACTCTTTTCACCCTTTCACCCCCTTTCGTTCATCGGATTCTATTCACAACCTTTGAAATCACCTAATCCTCCTCATTTATGGAAGATAAAGATGCGCCCGATCCAGGAAGTGAGTTTGCATCGGGGTCCAGCTGGACACTTGCTGGAGCCGACTCGGACGGCGTCAATTACTTCTTGGATAGGGAAAGTAGCATCCTCAGCGAGTTCGGCTGGAATCTCAATCCTGACCAGGCCGACGGACTAGGACGATTCGGTGACATGGAAAGAATCGAGAGGACTGATTTTACCGGAGATTGCGGCGGCTCACAAGGTACCGGTTCTGCTCCAGCCGCGTCAAATCCGGGAGGATCGGTTGACCTGTCCACGTCAAATCCGTCGGTGTCATCGAGCTCCAGCGAAGATCAGACAGAGAAGTCTACTGCGGGCTCCGGCGTGAAGCCGCCTCAGATTCCGTGAGTAGCGGCCATGAAATGGAAAATATTGAAACTGAAATGTGGGGTGTTTGGGACTGAACCGTTATTCTGGTGCTAAATTCATAGGGAAATTCAGTCAGCGAAATCGAGTTTTTTCTTCTTTTCCGATGAGAAAGAGTGCAATACTTCTGTATCCGTATGACCTAGAAACTCACCCAAACGAGTTGGTTCATGCAAGTTGGGGTTGAGGCGGTGAGGCAGTTTCGTAATTTTTGCCAAAGTCTAGGGGAAATTCGGTGGATACAAAAGGAGCTTTTGGCTATCAACAGTGCCACGAACACCGCTGTTATTGCGGCGGGAATGGCGTGCCTTTGAGAACCCTTCTTTTTCTTCATTTTTTTTTTCTACTCTGTCCCTCTCTTTTTTCCCCTAAATTACTACGTAAATACAAGGCAAAGTCGAGAATATAGCTGAAAAGCCCCTTTTCCTAAAATCTAGAGACAAATTGCATTCCGATCGAATTATTAGGAACCCTTTCTTTTGGGAATTCTCTTTGTTTATCATTCATCCCATAGATGATGCATGCATGATTCAATAGAGACTTTAAATGTTATATTATACCTCCTCCCAGCTAGGGTTGCGTGCCATTTTTTCTCAAAGGTTTTAATTTCTCTGTTGTTGATTGTGTTGGTGGGTTATAAACATGACTTGATTTTTCATCTCTCCGAACTTCGATGATGTTTACCGGAAGCTTCATAGCTTTTTCATTCTAATTGCTTTTGAAAGTCCAGTAATTTGTAGCTTACCTTGTATTTCGCAAAGAATTGTTTGAAAATTTAGATGCATGTGTTCAGTTTTTTCAGACCTCATAGTTCATCTCTGAATGTCTTACCTGTTTACTTTTCCTCAATTGCGCTTAACTTTTCACTTCTGTTTTCACTTCTTTTCCTCCCTATGGTATTTTACATTGTGCACAGACTGTGATTCAATACCCATGTACTTTTTTTTAAAGGTTTTTTCCCTCTAGTTAGGAAGAAACAAAATGTTAACGGCTTTAGCAGCTAATAAGTGTTCCATTAATGGATAATTAATGATTCCAGTTCCTTTCCATGATTATCTATCGCGTATAATTGAGTGAATACGTAATCGTCATTTAATTACACTCAATTTTTTAGAACTTTTTTTCTATTTTGATAATTGTAGGTGCAATATTTTTTTCCAGGAGTAAGGTGAGGAAAAAGGGGCAAAAGCGAATCCGGCAGCCACGTTTTGCGTTTATGACCAAGAGCGAAGTTGATCACCTTGAGGACGGTTACAGATGGCGCAAATATGGACAGAAAGCTGTCAAGAATAGTCCATTTCCTAGGTATGCTGCTATTACTCTACAATTAATCCAAGGAAATTGACATGTTACCCACTTCTTCATTACCTGCTTTTATGTTAAGTATACGGTTTGAAGGAGAAAATTTGTGATGATTATGTCCAGTTTTTATCTTTCTTTTTCAAAAGATATGATATGAATATTACGTCACATTCTCTGCACCTTTTCATACCGTAAGACTTTGTAAATTCAATTTTGAAAGATTCCAAGATCATTATGTTACTCCAATATATATATTTTTGAAAATGGTCAACTTAACCTGAATTGCATTTTTATTATTGTTACCACAGTCTTCTTGATTTATTCTCTTTGTTTTCCATATGCAATATACCTTTAGTTTTTTAACCTCATTTTGCTCCATTTGATTTGAGGAAGATAACTTATAGAAAATAATATGGCTGACATGAGGACATTAATATGTACATCAGAAATAAAATATTTATAGAGATATATAGATTAAGGATACTCTTTTTGTTCTCAGGAAATTAACCAACTTTCCCCTTCTTCTGGAAATGGAAGAGTATCTACTATCATCTATCTCTACGTATTTTACCTATCATGCATTTGTTCATGAGCTATATTAGTTATAATTTTTAGTTGATCATCTTTTTTCTGTCAATAAGGTTAATCTTAAACCCTTTGCATAGGGAAGCAGCCTTGTTGTATAAAACCTGAGACCCACATACTTATTTCAGGAGCTATTACCGGTGCACAAATAGCAAATGCACTGTAAAGAAGAGGGTGGAACGCTCCTCTGAAGATCCCACCATTGTTATCACCACGTATGAAGGTCAACACTGTCATCATACAGTTGGATTCCCTCGTGGCGGATTCAGCAGTCATGAAGCTGGCTTTGCTGGTCAGTTGACTCCAGCAATCTCACAATTTTATTATCCAGGAGCACACTTTCAAAGGGAAATTCTTCCGAGTATCACACAGCCGCAGCATGTACCAGTTCGTGAGGTAGTACAATCTCATTCACTGCCAGGACCAACCACACAACTTGCTACAGATAACGGATTACTTGGGGACATTGTGCCACCTGGAATGCGTAACACATGAGACGGATAGTATGGTATACAAATCTCTCATCACCTAATATATATTTAAATCTTTAAATACTGCAATTCCCCGGTTCACAAAACTTGCAATAGTTTCTGTGCCTTATTTTGTACTTTTGCTTGTCAGAAAGAGATTCATGGAGATCTAGTTGCCAATATGCTGCTTAGGGGAACTGCGGGAGAGGGAGATAGGCGAATGAGTGGTAGCACATTCTTAAACATGATAAAGATCATAATTGACATGATGACATAACAATTCATTATGCCAATGAGAAGTTATTAACTAACATTAACTTCTCTCATAAACATAGTTCACGCATGCAATTATCTGCTGAGATTGATTGGTAGTTGCAAATTAACATATATACATAGGATTCTTCAAGCAAATTGATGGGCTGTACATATGAGGAGCTTTAGGTGCAATAAGTAGTTGGCTAGCTACATTTTTAGATAAAAATTTAGCTAGTTTTAGCGTTCCCAGCTAATCAGTGATTGAACCTTTTTCTTATTGTATGATTGTATGATTTTGGATTTTAAGTAGACTTTGTGCACCACTGTGCTTTAATCCTAGACAATAAGTTAACCTCACTAGGATGACCTAAAGTGTCTCTAATTTGTTGCCCATACCTAGACCATATTAATTACAATAATTTCAAAGGACTGATCTGACCATCTGTGACTTCAAATGTTAATGGGTACACTGATTGGGTGAAATATCTGATATGGTAGCTAGTGTGATCTTCTTTTGTAATGTACACCATGCACTTTGTTTCCCTGGTTACCATACACTACTATTCCTCCAGATTTAGCGTTTGTGTGTACTGCTTTGATGTTTCCCACTTACTTATTATCATCTAAAAGCTTTTCTCTTCTAGACATGTAATGACCCAGTAGAATATTCAGGATTGACACATATCTTGGTTGTGTCCAAGTTTAGCCTAAAGAGTGGTTAATATCAGTAGAGAAGACCTTCATTTTGTTAACCTCTAATTTACCTAACCTAAACCTGTATGGATCTCAGATTATGAATCCCTTTCAATAATTATGGAATGAAAGATAGTGAAGTCCTACTGTGCGCTGATTCAACAGTTTTGAAAAGTAATGGATATATTAATAATTTGGTAATCAAGAATATATAGAGCATGGTAAACTCCTTTTTTGGGATCTCAAAAGATCTTTGTTGGTTGAGGCAGAAAAGGAAAAAAAAAAAACTTTGGTTTATTTAACACAACTTTTGAATGCACACACCCGTGTTACAATAGGGATAGATGCATGATGAATATAATGAGAGGGATCACTAAAGGAGGTAGCATATATAACTTTCGGTTCATACCGTGCGGAGAAAACGCATGCTCATTTGTCTACAAAAGCAAAGCAAAAATAAAAACAAAAAGATAGCACCTTATCCCTTATGCTCCACTGTGAATGACAAGAGAAAATTATTGAGACCACAAAAGTATGATCATAATAACTTTGATGGTGCTATATCAAGGAATAATATCCATGCTAATTAATTAATAAAATATTTGAGCTGGTTAGTTTTCGATAAGGTCTCTCTAGCTGTTATATATTTTTAAATTATATTTTTAATATGTTTTTAACATATATATATAGTGAATATTTAAAAAAAAAAAAAGATATATAATGAATCATTTTATGCTAACCTTTTTCTAGTACGTTTCAGGTGATCCATCGACTGCTAGTCTGGAACAAAAAAAGAGCATCATATTCCCTTATTTAATTTAGTGGAAAATCAGAAGAGGAAAGGCATATAATTTATTTATCAAGCTGGAAGTCGGTCCATTACCTGGAATTCCAATTCTATCCCTAACCTGCATATCTTAGATTCATGTGTACAATTGGAGCCTAGGTACGTATATATATATTGATATCTACTTGTATCAAACTTTTAATTATTCTCTCGAGAAAGTACATGTAAATATTGAAATTGTTTCATTTAGGTTTCAAATTAAAAGTAATTTGGTAAGTATATTACTTGCTATTAATTTTAGGCTTCAAAGTGTACATAACTAGAGGTTGCATGTGCCATGTAGTAGTTTATAATGATAATAATAATAATAATAACTTG